TTTTTCTATTATTTTTCATTTCCAAATTTGCTTTGCAATTATAACTCATTTAATCATAATCACACCGTTAATAATTATTGTAGGAAGAAGAATAGTCACAAAGCATGTGTTCTGAAACAGTTCTTTTGGCCTTTGCAGTGACAAAACAAGAGTTCGTACTTCAAAAAATGAGGTTCTTCAAAAGTTGTTTTCATTCTGTTCACGTTGTTGTGTGTTGTTTTCAAGTATTATCCTAGATTTATGCAAAACCTTGATTTCCCTAAAGTAAGAAATTGATGGGCTCACTGAATCTATTTTGTACGAGTGAAGTAAAAGCTAATTTTTTATCTGCCCAGTTTTTCTGTCATTTGGGGGGACACTAACCATAGTACCAGACCAAAGACTTTCAATGTACCAGTAATACTTCATGTATTAAGTAGAAGTTGAACTTAGACTATTAAGTTACAAAATAACAAAGTATACACGGGAATTGACAGGGATTATAAAAAAAATTCTCCATTAGCGGCTTCAGACAACAAAGCGCACCCAAGTGCCAAAGGAACCAAAAATAGACAAAAACATCACCTGCACTGATAACAAATTAATACATGTACTACTAAAAACACCCACAAGCACTGGAATCAACATAGCTTGCACATTCAAACCAAAGTAGTATGTAAAAATCATTATGGTATAATTATGGAAATGTGTGATTTCTAAAATCTTCGTACCCATATGTACCTATGTGTTTAGACAACTGGATCATGTCATATCTAACAAGATAAAGTCCAACAAATTGAGATACATTCTTGCATTTTACCCATAATATATTTTTTAAACATATTGATAAACAATAAGATTTACCCAAATGATAATATCAAGTTTTCAACTATATTTGCATCTAATTCTTGTAAAAATAAAAATACAGCAAGAAAACATATTAACCAAAAAACAAAGCATCAGATAGGATTTTCACTTGATGATACATAAAAATTTAGTGTCATCATTTAACTCCCAATTCGTAAAATACAAGAAATGAAGCTGATGAACAACACAACACTTTCTGAGTTAATTCAGCCTACATGCCTTCACTAAGCAAAGCACAAGGATAGTTATAACTCAATATCATTTACCATACAAGACTCATTACACAATTTCACATGTTGAAGCAATAAAAAAACATACAGAATTTACTTAATTACATTTGTTTTTATAATTAGAGCAATCAAAAAGCATCAGATAGGTCCAATGTACTCATTTAAATGTAAGCTTCCCCAAGGGGTTCTCCCTGTAAACAGGGTCTCAGTTCCACTCCATCTCAATAAATGGACATTTTCATCACTTGCAGATTCTATAACAACAAATCTACAAAACTAATCTCAATCAAACTAACTAGAAATCCCATAAAACATCAACAAATTATTATAATTTTAATAAATGAAATAAACATAAATAGAAGATATAACATCAGACATGCCAAAGTGTTTTCATAGAAAATGTAAGTTTCACCAAGGGGTTCTCCCTGTAAACAGGGTCTCAGATCCACTACACCTCAATAACGTACAGACAATCATCATTTGTATCATTCAATTATAAATCACACCATTACAGAATAATTATAAAATTTCCAATATGCAAACTTAAATAAAATTAATAAATTTTTTGCAAAATAATGTTGAGATTAAAGGCTCAGACAACAATAAGCTCTATCTATCATGAATTCTCTGAAGCAGAACTGGCATTGGAGCTTTAAAAACAATCATCATAGCCATATATCTTAATCACATATATCAACAATTAAAAATTCAATCTTTTTTAAAAGAAAACAATAAAGAACACATTTTTTTTCATAGATAATTGGCTCATATCAAGAAATTCAACCATTTAAATCCTTTACTTCATAGATTACTCTCAGAAGCGCGGATAATATCAAATCATTGCCAAAGATCCAAACTTTATAATCAATTATAAAACCAAATTAAAAAAATCTAATCAAAACCCTAAAATCAATGTGGAGAGAGTTTTTAGAGGCAAAATCATTGAAAATAGACAAAAAGCCCCCACGTGTAACCCCTCCTTTACTATTTGCCTCCATGACTAAGCTCTTCTGAGAGGTTTTTTCATTTTAATCAAAGAAGAACTTAAAGGTGTGGAGAGGCAAATATCAATAAAATTAAATAAAAATCCAAACTTTACCATAAAACTAGAAAAAATCAGATTGGGTATTCATAAATTGAAGAGATATAGACGTTACTTTGACACAGATCAACTGTGGAGAAAAAACAAAGCTGATTTGCAACACTGAACGACCAAAAAAATTGATTTAGCACGAGCATTGGGGCTTTCTTCTTCATTGAAATACATTTTCAGAGAAGCCCGGGGTGCAACGTGCAGATCAATTGATTCACATCAAGAACATATTTTTCAGAAACTACATTGAAAACAAGATAATGGTAAGAAAAACAATAACCTAAAAGAGGCTGCAGAGAAGAATGAGATTGAAGGTGAAGAAGAAAGGGGCTTTTATAGAGTTTTAATTTAATTTTTTAGGTAAACTAAACCCTAGGGTTTTTTGGAATATATTTAAAGGGTAATAACGTAATTGTGGTTGTTTAGGGTCTGTTTGGTAAATTAAGTTTTTATGGAAGTTTTTTTGATTTTATACTTGCTGACACCAGTTTTCTCTTCTTCTTCTTGTTTCTTGAAGCTATCAAAAATGTTGAGAAACAGAGCAAAAGATGCAACAGTAACACTTGTTTCATCCTTCTTCTTGCCAAAGATAAAATCTTTTTCTTTGTTATACAAAACCCAATTTTTTTTAGCTAAGAAATTTAGCACAAGAAGTGAAGAAATTGATTTTTCCAATGAAAATCATGTTAATCACATTCATTCTCAAAACCCCTTTATTCCAAACCATCATCAAACCCCAAGTAATGGGTTTTATAGGAGAGATCATGAGAATGATTATTTAAGAAATAATGAGAATCAAAAAGGAGATTATGTCAACTATGCCAATGCTTTTGGAGAAAACAGTAGGATGTTTGAACAAAATGGTTATAGGTATCATAGACAAAGCAATGAGGGTGCTCAACAATGTACTTATAGTAGCCCTTACGCAGATATGATAAAAGAGCTTGATGATTACTGCAAAAGAAATGAAGTGGAAAAAGCTATGGAAGTTGTAAAGGTGTTAGAAAGAGAGGGAGTGATTTTGGATTTGCCTAGATATGAACTGTTGATGAAGATGTGTGGGGAAGTTGGTCATCTACAATATGCAAAAGATGTTCATGTTTATCTTATGAGATCAAAACTACAGATCCAAGTCAGTGTTTGTAACAAGATTTTAGAGATGTATTTCAATTGTGAATCTGTGATTGATGCATACGAAGTATTTCGGAACATGCCAGATTGTGATACGACATCTTGGGAAACTATGATTAGGGGTCTTGCTAAGGAAGGGTTTGGAGAAGAAGCCATTGATTTATTTACTGAGTTCTTAGATGCAGATCCTAGACCTGATGGACGCATGTTTATGGCAGTGTTTTCTGCATGTAGCGTCTTGTGTGACATTGATGAGGGCATTTTACACTTTAAATTGATGAAGGATGTGTATGGTATTGTTCCCTCCATGGAACATTATTTGAGTGTAGTAGATATGTTGGGAAGTGTTGGGTATTTGGATGAAGCTATGGAGTTCATTGAAAACATGCCATTTGAGCCAAGTGTAGATGTTTGGGAAACCATGATGAATTTTTGCAGAGTTCATGGGAACACTTCGCTTGGGGATCATTGTGCCGACATCATTCATTACTTAGATCCTTCACGTTTAACAGATGAATCAAAAGGCCTTCTCTCAGGCAAAGCTATTAATTCTGCGTTAAATAAAGAGAGAAGACTATTATCGTCTGGCAATATTGAAAAGGGGGCGGATGTGTTCAAGAAAGGAGATACATCCCACCCTAAGACAGATATTATCTATGCACTCTTGAGGGAAATGAGAGAACACATGAAAGAGGTTGGTTATGTGCCACAAACTAGATACGCAATGGATGACGTTGAACAAGAAGAGAAAGAGGAATCCCTTCATAACCAGAGTGAAATGCTTGCCGTTGCTAAAGGCCTAATTGAAACTCGTGCTCGAACACCAATTCGTATATTTAGTAACTTTCGTTTATGTGTATACTCTCACACTGAATTGAAGATCATATCCTGGATTGTTGGTAGAGACCTCGTCATAAAAGCAGAGCGATTTCATCATTTCCGGAATGGCTATTGTGATTGCAATGATTTTTGGTAAAAGATACAGAGTGTTTCAGGGATATACCTGTGCGCCATTTATACGATCAACCTCAGTTTCTATTACAAAGTAAGTGGATATTATTTTAACACAGTAGCCTAGAATTAGCCATTTGTATGAATGATGTGAGTTTAATCGTCATGGTTATATATAATTGAAGCGTTTAAATAAAATTTAAGATCTGTGTTACATGTTTTTTCAGAAATGTCATGCTATTTACATTGTCAGTATTTTCACATTAACTCAGTGACAATGTGACTGTTACAGATACCAACAACCAGTTTCCTTCTTTCTCCAAGACACCAACCAAGCAAGATCTTTTCTAAGCTGGTCGATTTGAGTGCCCACATACCAACATTCAACAGATCAGAATAATGGTTATAGGTTGAAAGAAGAACAAGAA